TTAATGAGCGATTATTTTTACGTGACTCTCTCACACCGTAGTTACGTAAATGCATGGTCCTCTTTGGTATAGTCAATTCTTACCAAGAACACGTAAATGATCTTGGCTTTAAATTGTACTGCACCAAGCAAGCACAAAATCAGCGCAGACGATATTGTAGTGTGCGCTCTCATATAAGTGATCACCATTACCTTTTAGTTTCAATGATTTAGATCGCAGAACCGATTAAAATTACTCACTCAAAAGGGCAACTATGGAAGTGATAGCAACATCCCAGTACATAAACATCCAGTCACTTGGAAACGAATCAATCTGGGGAAAAAATGCATTTTTGACATAACCATCACAGCCGAATAAATATTGTAGGCACGATACTGACCTGTATTAACTTATGAGTAAAATAATTGCAAATACAGTAATGTAAAGTATTTACCGAGTTCAATATCAATACTGTCGTATACTGGATCATACTGTAGAGAGCCATGTATTTGAATACTCCGAATGATGTAACAAGGGCTGCTCTTCCTTCCCTAAATGAACAATTTCATTATATAATTTATCAATAATATTTGAAATAAAAAAATAAAACAAATAAATGTTAAACCAACGAATCACAACTTATTAAATAAACCTGTACATCATAAAATACTAGCTAACAGTAACCAGATTCTGACGTAAGCACGTGATAATACATTTTAAACTTAACGCAACACGACGCTTTAATATTAATAGCAAATATCGCCGCTGACCCTTTGTATACAGCCTACTTTATCGGTGTAGTGTTTGCAGTATTGAGTGGGAGAAGTAGTAATCTTTCAGGTAGACCTTTCGTCAACTGAAGGGTCAACGCAGCAACATGCGTTAATTAATTCAGGAGGTGAGTATATCTGTCAAAAGATTACATACATTGAACTGTAAACGGGATTAGATGGCGGTCGTAATCAGTACATTAATGAGTTTTACCCATTAAATTCTATACAGCATGTTAATTCTTTCGAGGTGTCTGTACCCGTGCGTTCCGACCTTTAAACATTGTCAAACGATATTGGACATGAAAACTGGTACGATTAAAACACAAAGTTAGGTAGACCTAAGTTACATATTATATATATATATATACATATATATATATATATTTACTCAAAATAGGCCTATATAATTGTTTACTTTGAATTTTTTACAAAACCAATGATTGTGCTTAGACCTACAATAAATGTGTTTAATCAATATTAAAGTAAAGTTATTATCCAATTATTAAATATAAAGTAAACTTATTATCTAATTATTAAATATTTATATATTTTTTGAAATATACTTTAATATGAGGATGACTAAAATTATGAAAATTAGTAAATATCACACTTATTTAAGATTTTTAACGTACTTGATAAGCGTAGGTACGCAGCT